TTAGTTCAACGGCCATGGAGGTGGCCTTTTATAAAAATGGGGTTATAGTGGCTGTCATGGCCAATTTGAGGGTGTAATGTGGTGCTTAGAAGGAGGGCAGTGGAGCTCTATAATTCAATGTGGCTGAGCTAGCCTCTAGGTTTGATTTGGGTGAAGCTCCATGGAGGTGGCTAGGTGCTCAGGGCATCTAGAAGAATCCATCACAACAATTTAATGCAAATGTGTTTTGATTTGACAAGGATACTTAAGCATGTGTACTTTTGGGAATAATATCTGTTAATTTGGGGGACCCTTGGTCCATGGCTTAGTTTACGTGGTTAGATGAGTTTTGGCTCAGTCTTAGGGGTCAGCTAATGGCTGAGGTGGAGTTCAATTGACTAGGCCATGAGTTCAATTTGGTGAGATTAGGTCATGTGACCAAATTGGGGGTTTGAACTATACCAAAATTGGGCTCAAATTATGGGCCAATTAAGCTTGTATTTGGTCTAGTTTGGTCATATCAAAAGTGAATTTGAGTTTAGGATTGAAATTGGGGTCAATTGACATCAAATTGATGGACATTTGAGTTGAATTTGGGAAATTTGGGTCTTTAAGGGGAAATTTGGGAGTTTTGATCAAGGATGGTTAAATTGGCCAAATTGGGTCATGTGATAGTTGAGGAAAATTAGATTGGGAATATTTGGGGGGTTTTGGGAATTTATGGGATTTTTGGGAATTTTCGGAATTTTGGGGTAAGGAGGAGTATTTTGGTAATTTGGCCAATTTTGGTGATTTTGGGTAACTTGGGGTGTTTTCAAGGTGTTTGAAATGATTTTTGAACAGGTTTGGGTATTTTGGCTAGATTTGGACATTTTGGCCAAATTTGGGGTCCCAAGGGTATCTAGGTAATTTGGGGAAATTTAGTGGCAATAGGTGGCAATGGGGTAGATTGGGTATCTTGATAGAGTTGGATTGCCAACCACCATCAATAAGCCATGGACCAATGGAAACCCCATTTTGGGTCCTCTTTGTATTGGTCTTAGCTAAACCCTAGCCCAGGGCTAATGGGTTTAGGGAACCACCTACAGGAGTCTCCCAAAAGTATCAAGGGACCAAAGAGTGCTTTTGGAAGTTTATTTTAGTGATTTAAACTTGAGTTTTAAAGTTATTTTTGAAATTTATCAAATTTGTAGAATGGCACCAAAAATGAAATGGAGTAGAGGAAAGATCCCATTTGATTCAAGAAAATATGTCAGTTCAAAAGCTCGGTATCGATATAGTAACGCTCTACAGTCATAAAAATTGATTCAGGAGGGATGTCTCAAGTGTCCAGGTGGAGAAGTGGAAGAGCTGGTAGTCCACCAACAGTGGGAACAATTTTGTTGTTTCTCTGTTGTTGCAGTGATTTCTATTGTGAGGGAGTTTTATACAAATCTCCCAGAGGTTGAAGACGATCAAGTTATG